ACGTAGCAGGACTCTGCTAGGCTGTGTACATCCCTCCCAGGGTCAGAGGGCTTGGAGGCAGTGGCCATAACTAACCAGAATGGGAACATGGATTAACTCATTTAATGATTTAATAACAATTCTATGAGTTCGGTACGTACTTACCCCCTTTGTATAGGTGAGGAAAAGAGGTGGAGCCAAGATGTAAACTTAGGCACTGTAGCATTCGCAACCATTATGTGAGAGTCATAGATAGGTAACTCTTGGAGTGACAAAGAAGCTCTGCTAACATTGTTAGCTGGAAATCACTTGAGAACATTCCCTAGAAAGTCAGAACTCTTGGCTTTTCTATGCCACTTTATCTTGGAGAATTCACTTCTGTTCTTCATGCTCGCAGGGAAGGAAGTACAACAGGAATACATGGCAAGCCTGTTGCTTGCATTGTAATCAATAAATACATTGTAATCAGATTCGTTCAGTTCTCCAGAAGGATTTTTCTTCTTTGAATCAACTGTGCTCCTCTTAGAATGCAGGTTACCAGAAAGAACTGCAGGAATTTCAATCTTAGATGCCACCTGCCCTGGGGGGGGAGGGGGGGATGCAAGTACACGCCCCCCCTGCTTATGAGATATCCCATTCTTTTTGGCTCCGTTTAGAAATTTCAAAATTTGGAGAAATAAATCAATTTTGCCTTTTGCTTCATCATATTTCATCTGGGATTCTATTCATTTATTGAATAAATACATGAATGTCTACTATGTGCAAGACTGTTCTTTGCAAGGCTGAGCCCCTAACCACTTTATTCCTCCCTCTAATACTGCTTATGAGATATCCCATTCTTTTTGGCTCGGTTTAGAAATTTCAAAATTTGGAGAAATAAATCAATTTTGCCTTTTGCTTCATCATATTTCACCTGGGATTCTATTCATTTATTGAATAAATACATGAATGTCTACTATGTGCAAGACTGTCCTTTGCAAGGCTGAGCCCCTAACCACTTTATTCCTCCCTCTAATTGCACGAGTTCCCTTCTCTTGCTTTTTCTGAAATGTGAATTACTAGGGTTAGAGAATTAAGAAATATCCCGTGGTGTTACTTTCCCAGCAGGCAGCTCCCAATTTTCCATGGAGTTAATGAGATAGAAAGATATGAATTTTCCAAAAGAGCAGCTAATAGGAAAAGAGAAGCTCATTCATTCATCTCAGAATGAATTAAATGATGTTAACTTCCCTTATTATTTCATCCAGGCTGACATGAAACAAATTTGCATTCCTTGAGAAGCTGACCAGAGGGCAGGCAGAGGATGATCTGTGATGTGTTGGCTACCATGTGAGGCCAACATAAACTCAACAGTGGAGCAAATAATCCCAGACAGATTATACCAATATTCCGTATTAATAACTACTCAGTGGAGTGGGGTTTTTTTCACTTCGGTGGTGAGACAAGTAAAATAAAAATTTCATGTTTTATTTTCTGGGGCATAGATTGACAGAAGTCTGTTAACAAATGACTACCGTATTTGCCGGCGTATAAGACGATTTTTTGGCCCTGAAAAATATGCCTCCAAGTGGGGGGTCGTCTTATACGCCAGGTACACTTCAGATAGACTGCCCATAGTGCTTGCCCCGTGCCATAGTGGCCTCCCGATGCCAGCCCCCTTCATTCCACATACCGTTCAGGCATCAGCAGCGCTGCTGGGGCTCTGAA